CCCTGGTAACTATTTTAATCTACTTCTCATATATCTGTCTTAATGTAATTTTCCCAAGATGATGCAAGGTGATGATGATGCATAAAAACTAAATAAATCAAAATTAAGATATTTAATTTTTCTGAAACTACATACCTTTAGGAAAGCTCCTGTTAAGTTTTAAACATCATCTACTAGTTTTATTTTTTGAAACGAAATATGATGAGGACTATATAACCTATTTCAAAATGAAGTAGCTGGGTCTGGTAGAAATAAATTGGCTTATTCACATGGATTAAAGAAATTCCTTGCTTAGCTACATGCAGTTGTGTCAGTAATTGTAACCTTGGACAGTTTTTCCACAAGCACAGCTGCAACTTGTTTACAAAAGAGTATTTTTATAGCACATCACAATTATGTCATCAGAATAAAAGCACTGTCTGTCACTACCACATGCAATAACATCTCTAATTGGCTGTGAATGGGGTTTCCATGCGAAGAGCAGGAGTATAAAGGTAAATCAACCTCATTAGTTTTTACAAGAGTGTGTTTATTGAGATAGATTCAGCACTGCAGAAAGACGAGTAAAATCACAACTATTGATTCCAATTAGATCAAACAAACATGCTTAACCAAGAGCACATTATGTATTTTAGTGGGGGTTCAAGGGGTTAGTAAGCATGAATAATGCACAGCTACCTCAAACACAGTAAAAGATGGTACTGAGCTAGCATAGAGTGATCAGAAGCAAAATCAAGCAATTATCAGTTCATCTCTTTTCATACTTCAACCCAGAATATTCAAAAGCAATAAGTGTTGATTTATTTTATGTTACTTTAACGAAACAAAGAAAAATCTTGTGAAAAATATGAATGTCTTTTCTGTTGTAGCTTAGCACAAAGCTACATAATGGGCTATCTGTGCTGTGCCCACCACTGGTATCAAAACCTGGTTTCTAGTGTTACAATTCCTCAGATTTACCACTGTGAAGCTACAAATGGTTAAAAAAAAGTAATTGATTTAAGTGGATTTAAGGTAAAAATACCAAAACTTGAAGATTATGGTGAGTTATGATTCAAAGTATAGTAAAAAAAACCTGTATTTCATCATAATGAAGATAATAAATGATTTGTTTGAATCACATGTATGTCTCTCTCTTCATTATGCACTTAATGCTATTGTTTTATATCTACCTTATAAAAATTGACAAAATAAATATTTAAATTTTTTTTTATAAATTTGCACCCAAGTGAGTGTCTTTAAACTTTTCAAGTGAACAAACTTATTTTTTTAATATAAAATATCATATCATCAAATTGACTATTTTTAAGGTTCTCTGATAAAATCTTAAGATATAACATGTATTCTAGAAATTTCTTGACAAAATTATGCTATTTCCGATTAAAAATGCATTTATTTTTTATATAATGAAGTAAGTCACACTGGGTAACTAGCATGTTATCATCGTAATGTCACAAGATGCAACTTTTTCAACAGGAATTGCTTGTAAAGCTATGTTCTGCATTCTGTTACATAAAGGAAATCACATTTCCAGTTGTAACTTTTTTAACTTAGCAATGAACTGATGATATCCTCATGAAGTTATGATGATGTCACTGAATTACATTAATGTGAGCTACAGTATTTTTGAAAGGATAATGATCATGAGTGCTCTTCTTAGCATCAGCCCAGAATTTTAATACGACGTTAATCTATACAAGATGCTAAAGGAAATAATTATTTATCAGAAAAATGTGGATAAATTGTGGTAATTTATTTACTTAAAATACTTGTTAAACATTGATTGTTTATTCTTATTTATAATCTTGAAGTATTTGCTATGATGAGTTAGGCTAGACACAAGCCCCAGCCTCATAATGAGAAATCTTCTGGTACCATTTTGAGGTTGAAGCCTGGTTTCATCTTTACATTAAGAACACTATTTGAAAGATGTAAACAAATGGTATGTTAAATTTATTTCATTGATTTGTTTCATAACAGCCCATTTTCTTAGTTTATACTTTAGTTTCGGTTTCAGCCTTTAATAGGCCTACATATCAATTGTTTTCGTTCAGTGACCCAAAATTTGGTTTTCTTTGTACTAATAGGTGGTGTCTGAAGTGATAGATGAAGTAAATATGATTAACTTGAGTAATGGAACAGTGTATAATATGCTACGATAAAAAAGCTGATGTATTCTCTCATGTAAGTGACGGGTCATTAAATATCATTATCAACTTTAATAATCAATAATGTGCCCTGCTTGGTGAATATGTTGAAATGTAGAACAGGACTACGAACATTAAGTTTGCCAAAACGACTCTACTTCTCTGTCACAGAAAACATTAAAATCTTTGTCACAAAATGAGATTTAAACAAAAGCAACAACAAAGAGAGGAAGACCAAGTCAAGATGAATTGATGGAAAACACACTTTTGAAAACAAGTATCTGACCATGAAAAATGTGGAAGAAGTTTTGGAGGACCTCTTACATAATGTTTGCATGAAAGCCATTGAGATGAATTCCTCAAGATTAAGAAGATTAGTAACACTGATAACATATTTGTCAGACTGGATCTTCTCACTGAAGCTAAAATACCTTTACTTAAAATACAAAGTATCAGAAAACATGCCTAAGAAAGGAAACGAGACATCTGAAATCTTTGGATTAGCATAAAAAATGCCATCAGATCAGTTAATAGAAACAGTAGTAAGTGATAAAGATCTGTTATTAATGAAACTTTATAGAATGGATGGCAACTGCCTGTTGTAGAGACACAAGTGTAGAGGACTACATTTCAAAAGTCTTCCACCTTTCATCTTCTGGCAGAAGACTTTCGAAACATCATCCTCTACACTTGTGTCTCTACAACAGGCAGTTGCCGTCCATTCTACAAAGTTTCATTATGAATACTCTGCCTAAACAATCTAACAAAGATCTGTTCTTGTTGCATAAAAGAATACTAATACTAATACTCAGAGAAAGTCTAAAACTATATGTCAATATCAAAGATAAATCCTTCAAAAGGCCTTTTACTACTATGTACTGAGAATGCAACAAACCAAGACAACCAATGATTTCTCCTCAAGATTATAAAGAATATCAGATGGGTACATTGAAGGACATTTGCAGAGTACAACATTATATGTCTTTTAATATTTTGATAGTGAGGTTGAGCAAATGATAAATAAACAAAACCCTGTAGGTGCCATAGATGAACCTTCAACATCAGTTCTTGGCTCAGATCAATCAAACTGACAAAAGTAACTTATATGGAGGTATCATTCCATCCACACAATCCTGAACTGAAACACACGTGGAAGCTCTGCTACATACCATCAATAATTAAACTGTTTGTGAAACATGCACTGAAGTATGCCAAATGTCAACTAGTCAAGCTTATCCAAGCTGATCGACATACAACTCTACGATTAACAAGTCACCATTATGGAATATTGGCATAGTCTGTCATTTATACAGGAGGAGTCCAACTCAATGCCAGTTTTACTCACAATTCTGAAGCAAGTTCAAAAATCAACATCATCACTATTGGGAAATGGTAAGAGACCCATTATCACTCTTGATGTGGATATTTATGACTGTGTGGTGAAACTGAAGGACTGTAAGGAAAGTTGGTGTATCAGCAGGGCTCTTCATATGTCTACTTTGAAGTGCCTTGGAAAATATATAGAAGGAAATGGCATGGTTCTAGCCTAGAAAATTGAGGAAATTTATGGATCTGTGGCAGTTAGACAAATATTCAATTTTGGTTTTAGTTCTTGATGGCCTTCAAAAAACATAAATCAATATTATATTCCACAAAAAAAAGTCATTTTTACACTTTTTGCATGTTATTATTCTATGCACTATTTAGTGCATTACTACCATTAATATAAAAAAGTAAGGTTAAGTGACATCGACAGCAAAAAAAGAAGAGTAAGTACTTTATTTTTTGTTTTCCCTGTGTATTTATTATTATAAAAGTCACTAAAATGTAAAAATAGGTATCTCTTTAGGTTAGTTAAAGTCAGATTAGATAAAACAAATAATATAATAAAAGTGTTTCACAAGGCACGCATGTGAGCAGCTCATGGATATGTAATTCAATAGCATAATGTGAGCTCCATGTTCCCTAAAAAGGCACGAGGAGTAGTTAGACATAGTTCAAAGCGCAATAAAACAATAAAATTTAAGTACAAATAGATGTATATTGTTATGAGTTTAAAGATATTTAGGATAAACAAATGTAGTTTCATTTTGCAATTTGAAGTCATTCTAAAAAGAAAGCAGGGGTAACTTTGATTTATTTCAACTGTTTTTGGTGGTTACGAGGTCGGTCAAATTAACCAACCTTATAAAGAGTTGGAGTAGAGAAAATAACAGGTAAAATATATTTTACTGAAAACAAACATTTGAAATGTACTTATGATGTTTTAGAGATTATGCAAACAAAATCTGAGATTTTTGAGATAAAGAAAAGTATTTTTAATCTTGACATGAAAATCACTTTGCTCAAACTAGTAAAAATAAAGAGACTATATATTCATGGACAAATTTTTTTCTTAATTTATTTAAAATACTTCACTAAAAAAATCTGTTTATTTTATGTAAAAAGACTTAATGTGTACTAAAAGTCTGCCAAATTTTGTGAAGATATAGATATTATATTAAAAGTTAATAGTATTAAAACTATTATGACTTTAAAGGAGTACAAAGTGGTCACACGGTTGGTCAATTCTATCGATCCCGTGTAGAGTTAAATAAGGTTACATTCATGTAGTTTTATTAAATAAAGTTACATCTACATGAGTTTGTTTGTCTGATCTCAAATATTTTTCAAACAGACCAAGATTTATCAATCTAACACATAATGCTTACAAGAAAGAGTAGCTTAAACGGTGTGCTTGAACATGATAGAATAGGAAAATTCAAGAGAAGGGCATGAAAACTACCACAAATGTTTTGCAGGTCATGGCTAGTGTAACGATTAAGATTATAAAATTAGTGACACATTTATTACCTTCATCTGTAAAGAATTGTTCCATTCTCTACATAAACGTTCTGCTCTTGTATCTTTCCATGTGATAAAATTGTGAAATGGCTGTCCTGTCTCCCTGAAAATTCATACACATAAACCATGTATTTTTAATATCAATCAATACTGTTTTAGCACTTCTATTTAGTTTTCAAAACTTTTATTTTTAATTCACTAATCAAAATTTCTATCTTATAACCTTTATCATGCTATACAGTCTATGCAACCTAAAAACATAAGATGTGATTAATAGGCCAGATAAGCCAATACAGGAGCTATAGGAAAACAATATTAATCAGAGTGAAGATTTTGAAATCAACATTCTTGACCAAATCAATTAACATGTTCTACACTTGCAACTCTTTCTGGAAGGTTTGAAAACTTCTAGCTCAATATGCAACTCTGAACATGTTTGATATTCATATAAAATCTGTGAGACTAAGATGAGGAATTATGCATGATATATTTAATTTTAATTTGTCAATAGACATACTTTCAGATAAATAGTAGTATATCAGTAGATTTGTTCAGAAGTGTACTCTGAAACTTTTTATAAAGGGTATAAAATGATAAAGTCATTCCTTTGATTTTTTCATTAACATGGTGGTGAAAAGTTATTTAAACTAGAGTAAAACTGAATAAATGGAACCAACCATAACCACAAGTCATAAATTACTTGCTTTACGAGAGTTGTTTGAAAAGTTCATGACCCAACCTAAGAAAAAACAAACTGGAGTTTATGTTTTTTCTAATGAATATTAAGTTTGAACCCTGTTATGAGTAAACATGTAACATACAACTTAATGGGCTCATTTTATGTGTTGCAGATTCCTGAAGGTAAGAAGTGAGCAGTGTTAAATGTCATGGAGAAGATCAAACTTTGTGCCATGAACAAATATTTTGTTAAAAAAAATGACTGCAAGAAATCCACCAGGACATGGAATGAACATTATGAGAGGGTTTTCCAGCGTATTCAAAAGTGTAAAAGTGGTGTGCCAAGTTTGAGCATGGTAGACAATCATGTGAAGATGATCCAAGGTCAGGTCTGCCTTCAATGTCAACCACAACAGTAATTGTACATAAAGTTAATAATTTGGTTATATATATGATAGAAGAATTACCATTAGGAAGTTAGCAGAGGAAGTAGGAATCAGTAAAAGTACTGTAGCAAGCATTTTGAGTGGCATTTAGTGCCAGATGGGTTCCAAAAATGTCACCTGAGCAGAAATGGATCCAAATTGTTGAAAGCCAACACCTACTTCAAAGGTTTCAATATATTCATAACTGTGGACGAAACATGGAGTTCACCACTTTTACCCCAAGAAAAAATATAATGTTTGCAATGGAAATACCCAAGTTCACCCACTCCAAAGAAGTTGAAGTCAAAACACTCTGCTAGGAAGGTCATGCCATCATCTTTTTTTGGGATGCCAAGGGTGTTTTACTAGTTGATTATTTGGAAAGGAGTCAAACCATTACAGGAGATTACTATGCATCCTTAATCAACAATACGCAGCAATAAATCAAAGAGAAGAGGAGTGTTAAAAAAATACCCAGCTCACAAATTGAGTGTTGTTTTGAATGCTATCCATGATGCTGGCTTTGAATTTCTCAGTCACCCCCTTACTCATCAGGTTTAGCTACTGCAAGTGTATAGAATCAGGTCAAGATTATGTTGAAAAATAAATCATAGTTGAACCAGTGACTTTTCTTTATAGGTTGGGTCAAGAAATTTTGGGACATTCCTCCTACTTCTCATGCTATTCACACTTGAAAATAGCAAGCATGTTTGACACCAGAGGATAGGAAGACAAATTTAAAGTGTAATTACATCATACACTGCTGTTCACATATCATGAAGACTTTCAATAATATGTATGATTAATTAATAAAATGATATGTACATTAACAGTACAAGAACTATTTTTATTCTAATGAATAACTTGATTTTATATATCATAAAAGAGGGTCTAACCAGGTGTTATTTCTAGAAATATCTTCCATTTCTATTTCCAGTATTTCTAAAAACATTTATATTTATCAGTGAAAAAAAAAATTTTAGCGTATATTAGTGGTTATTTAAATTTGTGTTTACATCATTTTGTTCAAAGGATCAGTGACAATGTGGCATACAATTTTACAAAAACATATAACCAAAGATAGGTTTTCTGTAACCTACAAAGAAATCTTTCAACCAAACTTCTGTAAACCATCCACACTTCATGCTGTACAAAACCTAAAACTTCAAAATGTTATGTTTAGATGAGTATCTGTTTACTGTAACAAAAACAAACAAGTTAAAACTAATAATAATTTATGTAAAATGTTTACTAAGATATATAGCAAATTCTTCATTTATGTAACTAACAGGAGCATCCTAAGAAAATTTTTTAAATGGTCTACTTGAATATAAACAAAAATAGTATAAACTTTCTACCATGACTATACAGTGGTATTACAAAAAATCACCATGATCTTAAAAGGTGAGAATATTAGAGAATTTGTATCTAGATACCACAGAGAAAATTACTGTTGTAACAGGATTCTATTCGATTATTCAATAAAAATAAAAGTGCAAGGTACATTCCACTTAATAATAACAAAAGTATCATATTTCTCGGATGTTGTTTTATGCAATTTAACAACATTCACAAAATGATAGACCCAATATAATAGTTCTACTCACACATTTTGTTATAAGTATGGCACTTTTCATATCTATTTCTTCATTGAAACAAACTCAATATTCACAGCACAAAACTAACTAGCTGACAGTAACAGACAATTTGACTAAATCCTACAATGATTATTTGTTAACTATGAACAAACTCAATAATCCAATCTAGCCTAACTCATATTTTATATATGCACCAAATTATTTCCTAAACTTTCAAGAAGGTTCTAGTCACTAAAGCCATGCCTATCACCTTCCAGCTAAACAAGAAGCATATAAATTAAAAAATGCAGCCTACAATAATATGGTTAATGAGCCAATGAGAGGGTCTAAAGTACACTGTTAAGCAATAAAGCTAAAAGAAAGCAGACATGAAAAAGTTAGAAGCTGAAGCTGTTAGGATAAATAATTGTAACTGTCTGTTTCAATCTGAAGTCACTCTAGAAAAAAAAGTATTTTTGATTTCACTTCACAACTTTCAATTGTTCATTTAACTGTACATTAATGATTTTACTATTTAATGTTAGGGTAGAGAAAATAAGATAAAGTTTTAAGAAAACAAACAAACTGATATTCATTTAGGAGGTTCTAGAAGTTATGCAAATGAATAATGAAACTGTAAGATGGAAAGAAGTATTTTAATCCTAAACATGAAAATCAACTTTCACAAAGACTAACTCAGTAAAGGCTTCAACTTTTACTAAGACTAACTCAGTAAAGGTTTAATAAATTCACAGACAAATCTTTGGTAAAAATACTTTATTAAAAAGTTTGATTTCTTGTGTACACCAGATTCGTAATGTTTATCAAAAGCTTGCTGTACTTAGTACATTCATAGTTATAGTATGTATAGTTTAACTGTTATACGGTATTCACAAAGTTAGTTAAATTGACCAACCTGTATGCATAGGGTTAATAAATAGTTTAATATTAAAGAAGTAGCCTAAAACTGCTAATTATATATATATATATTACTCCATACCTTGAATTACATTAACACAAGCAATTTAATTTTTGTTGCACACTAAACACACATATTTCTTCACTTTGAGTACTGTGCAACTCTGCAACATTCTATTTTCCAGCTATTTTTCATGTTCAGTGTAATTTCAAATATTCATATCTCACCTGTCCCAATTTGTGAATGTTCCTCTCTGTGTACTTATTCCAATACAAGCAACCTGCTTAGCTTTTATACCAGCATCTAACAATGGAAAAAGTTTATTAGATACATTACATAATTCTGAATAGTAAGATTTAGCAAAATATCCTTAAAATTACCAAGATCACATAATTACATCATCATAAAGTTTAAAAATCAAATAAGCTACAGTAACAAAAAATTATACTGATAATTTACCATAATTTCAATTTTAGGCATTAACCTTAAAATTTCATTTACAATTTCGACAACAACTGTTTAGTATGGCATTAAAAGTTGATTTTTCAAATTGTTAAATAAAGTTTCATTAACCACTTTAAAGTTTAAAAATTGATCCCATAAATTCAAACACATTACATACATATAAAACAAATAGAGTTCAAAAGCTCCAGAAATCTGTTTTCACTCCTGAAGAATAGTCAGCTATTTGAAAGAGAAAGTTTCTGGATCTTTTAAACTCTTCTTGATATTTTCTTGTGATCCTTTGTGCTAATGTTTTCATAACAGTTTTGTATAAAACAGACATTAAACAAAAAATTGATCAAAAACAGTTACTCAAAGAAACAGAAATAACTGGTTTAGAAGGAAATCTTTCACCAAAAACCATAATCAAAATTTTACTTCTTGTTAGCGTAACTTTTTGTATAAAATGTTTTTGCATTAGCATTTGTATTGAAGAGGGATTTAACAACTTTTAACATACAGAAGATTCATCAACTGTGACTGATGAAATTAGTAAAGTTTCAATACCAGTCAAACCAAAAACTAACTTAACATTAACTATAAAAATTAATGTACAAAAAAGGAAAAACTTAAAATTAATTAGAATCAAAGTATGTTAGCTTCAGCTTTACATATCACAAAACATTTGATATTAACATTTTTGATTAAAGCTACCCATGTTGTAATTTCTGTTGAACTAATATGCTCTATGCAAAATATTTAAGAAGCCAATGCCCTACAATAAAAAAGTATACTTATGATACTAGCATACACTTTCCTTACCATAAGTACATACTAGAAGTGTTGTTTAAAATTAGTGTAAACCTTAATATAATGTTTCAATGTACTCATTCATCTAACAAGACTAGTGTTTTACTAGCATCCATGTTAAACACTGGAGAAAATGTGCATCTGCTAAACCAAACATTCTAGCTAAGAAATATGTAATCAATGATTTCACAGATACAATAAAACCTCCTACACACAAACCTCTCTGAAAGGAATCATTGTGACGTGTTCTAAAAGAAAGTTGAAAACTGTTTACACAAGTTGTCTTGAACACAGAAAAAGAAATAACTGAAAAGTAGTGTTAAAACAGCAACGTTCTTTTCTTATTAGTTACCACTATAAACTGTTTTCTCTGACCCTGCAGAATCTGAACAGAAAGTTTTAATTCTTCACCTTACACCACATCAAATAGTTTTAGAAAAATAAATATTTTAAATAGAATGAGCCATGCTTAAAAAAAAAAAAATGCAGGTTTACAGCTTGATAACAGAATAACATCCTAGTTAACAAACAGGATGATATTATGAATTGACAAGAAACAAAAAACATACTTCTTTGGCACTATTTTATAAACCTTTACTTTCTGTGTATATACGTCTTAATTTTATCACATCAAGCTCTTAATATCTGCAAAGCAAAAAGTTGGTTGAGTATTTTAAATTGCATAATTACTACTTTATATATTTGTTTACCCTTACCACTTGACAACTCCATTTGTATACATTATCTATTATATAACAAAGTATAACAAGCACCCTTACAATGAACTTATACAATAAATACTATTTCACCCTTAAATAATCAGTTTGTTCTAGTATGTTAGAGATAAATGCAAAGAATCTTTTTTCTAAACACACCTTAGACAGACAAAAGAATGTAATGAAAATTCTTTAGGCTTAAGATTAGTTAAAACATACTTTTAATCCCATTTCTCACCACCTGAACGAAAGTATTCCACAACATATCTGGATTTAGTTCTACCCACCCATGATGAGGAAAGATGAGCTCCATCTGCAAAATGAAATTCTTTTGTGTGAAAATAACTATATATAAAAGTTTTATAATAAAATTTGCATTAATTACACTTAATGCATGATGTTTATACCATTTTAGTTCTACAACAATTGAAAATATTCAAAACATCTTAAGCACAAGTTGCACAACTAACTGAAAGGATTTGTGTACTTGTACAACATTTTCTATAGTGTCACATGAATGTAATCATCTACTGGGTACATATATGAAATGTAGTGTAATTACATTACACATACTGTCATATTACTTACATGTATAAAGATTAGAATGCATTGTTTCATCGGTAGGGTAAACTTAACATTAACAATAATGTCGACCACAATTTAAAATATTCAAAGTTAAACTTTGCACATGGATAACTCAGGTTTCAAACATACCATATTGGCCATGGGAAAGTAAAAAAAATTGAGTGTCATAACATCCTTTTTTTAGGTCAGCAAAATTAATACTATAACTGAATAACTGAGCAGCCTGCAGGTGGATTAATTGCAAGAATCAGTGATGACCTTGAGCAAACATATGGCATGCAAGAATAGACAGATGCTATTCAGACATTCAGGAATGCAAAAGGCTAGAGAATGGTGAAGAAGCCTGTGGTCAGCCACGATTATAAGGCGACTATGAATTTTACAGCCTAAATATTAATAAAAAACATTGCCTTAAAATTGGGCCAATATAGTAAATTGTCTTCAAGAATGTAACCTGTATTAATATTTCAACAAAAGTTGTTACATTCCTTAAAAAAATGTAAATGCCTAAGGATTAAATAAACCTTCAAACATAACAGTTCCACATCTACAAGTAGTCTTGTTACTTCGTACATTTATCAAAGAGAAACACCATCCCACTTCAGAAAAAAAAAATTTAATGCCAATATTTGATATGGTCTTCATCAGAGTACAATGTCATTAAAAAATGGAACAAAACAGATACAAAATCAAACTTATTTGTGTAAGTGACATTCAAAAGCATTGCATACTTTATCTAATACAAGATAATTGTCAAACAGTGTTAACACTTAAAAATGTATGCAAAATTAAGCTCTGTTGTTTGAAAACTGGTATTATTAGTAATACATGTAGAATAAGTAATACCATGAAATCTAGTAACTTATATTTTACAAGTGTCAGGGTTATGAACTTAACAAAATGTGGGGGTGGATGCAATAATAAATAGCACAAAAATACTAACTTTCACACAATTTATTTATAACATAACATATTACTACAGTAATTTACTATTACCTCACCAAAAGATTATGTATATACTTAAAAGATGGTATACCACTGTGCAATGGTCAGCGTGACTTTCTAATAAGAGGTAGCAACCCAAGTAGTAGCAGTAGGAGTGCTTTCTATTACCCACTTTCAACACCCAACTCTTAATGTCCTTCCACACTGTTTAATGTGTTTAATTGACTGTCATTGACTGCACGGGTCAAAGTATGGAGTGGGAATAACTCAAGAAATGGCTCTTCATACCACCCTTATGGTAGCTGTTTGAGTAGAAACTTCATTTTAGTTTATGTATTACTGCAGTAGTGGTGGCCATTTTTTTTTTCATTGCATTCCTCAATACAGCATCTAGTGCACTCTCTGAAATACACCTCCCCCCACATTGTGTGTATATTATGTTATACAAAATTGAAGTTTTTTTTGGTGTAAGGATGTGGCACCATCCATGAATGTTGTTAACATTAACTTACGTCAAAGATAATAAATGCTCAATAACAGAGGATGGAGGAAATTGTGACCCCCCCTCATTAACATGCCCTTTTTCCAAAGTATCATCCCAAAAAGTTTGGTTGGGATAGGCCCATTGACCTAGAAGTAGTTAAATAACAGACACACAGATTTATGTGCTTCATATATGTATATATTAAGAGTGATGTATGAAGACCAAGACTATATTAAAAGTCACTAGTTGATTTTCTCCTCAATATGGTCATGTGGGCTGCTACACATATGGGTGTCTCTTGGGAAAGTCACAAGTGGACTAAGTTCTTGCATGCTTTGCCCAATTTTTTTTTGATGATCAATTTCAAAAACAAATATTTTTATTGTCTAGCCTATATCAGATCAAAGGTCAAGATTACATAAGAACAACAATATTAATAAATTAATGGCTTCTGTTTGTCTAGCATAAGTCAGATCATGGTTCAAGTTACATCAGCAGATATATTTCTTCACTCCATGAAAACACTATTAATAACACACTGAAAATCTGCTCATGGAATGAAGTAAAGCATAAACTTGAACTGATGTTGTAGATTAAGAATACTGACAAGGTATTCAGCAGCAATGAATGCACAATTGAGAGGTTGATCTAGAATCTGGACAATAGATCTAGGCAAAGATCACCAAATTCTACCTTTGAGTTGAGCCTCTTAGCTCGAGCACAAGCCAAATATTCTCTTACCTACTCCCAATATGCAACTATCACTCGCATTCTGTAAATTAACGGCAAATCAAAATGTCAAAACATATGAAAAGCATATGGTATTTCCTTCACAAGTCTCTAATCACAATTTCTATACCACATTACTTTCTTCCTTGCCAAAATTCAGTGAGAATATAGTGATAACACTGTGTGCATGTATTGTGATTAGCAAAAAAATCAAAATTAAACTGTCTATATTCAACTAGTATGCTTCCCAAGTGATGGTCATGCAATGACCATGTCTTTAGTTGGATTGCAGGGTTTTACTTTTTTCTGGGGAAAACCCTGTAATCACTCCTGAATACCACAGCCTCACTTAATACTGTTATAATTTATCTTCTCTTGGAATGCCTTTAAAAGCTTAATTTGTTTTACCTATACAAAGATAGTACATTACTCATACTGGTAATTAGGAAAAATAATTTCCACAATCTCTTCAATAACAAGATAATCAAAGATGTCACTTTTACATGATAGTGAGAATTCAAATATTACAAACCTATAAATCAAATTCAGAATGTTTATAATTTATAGTATTACTAAATTTATGGTGCCATTGCACTTTGCAATATTGTATAAATGTAATTAAATATACTTAAGAATGACCAGTGGTCTTTCTTTGTTTACCTTTTTCTACAGAAGAAGGTGATTAAAGAAATGTTTTGCTTCTTCCACTGACTCTGAACTAATTTAAGAACATTTCTTTTTGATGTACCTCATGTTGTTACATTCAAGCATGCATAAACTGAGGCTTAGTCTTAGAAATAATAAACACAAGACTGAAAAAATAAGGAAATGGTATGTTTTTTTTCAAAGGTCATATCAGAAATTTTAACCCCAAATCTAGTGACAACTTCACAAAATGGATTTTTAGAAAATAAGCAACAGCTCAACCTACTTTACTGTTTGATTAAGAAATTAAGATTTACAACAAATGATTGAATATGATTTGATGGAATCAAAGGGTTTAGAGATGAAAGCTGATAAGAGTATCTAACATCAGTATTTACCATTAGCCGTAATGTTTGGTTCTCAACATTAATTTTGTAAAACAAAGGCAGTAACTATATGTCAGCTCTTTTTAGAATATTCAATTTGTTGACGTAAGTACACTAGACCTGGTCCATTAATTCAATTAGTCAATTACCTATGAGTATAAAATAAAATAATCAGTTAATCAAAATTACATTTAAATCAATTAATATCAAAAATAATCAACAAATGGAAATTAATGTTTTTGATTATTACCATTTTCAATTATGCAAGAAACTGAAATATTTCCATTATGATTTCTAATTATTTTTAATGAACTCAAGTTTGTTCAGCTTGATCAATTAGTATCAGAACTCATGAAAATAATAAAATAATCAAAATTAGTTTCTGACAAATCTGATTATTACTGTTTTTCATTATTCCAACTATCCAAGTGTCATGTAAGAATAACTGACATTTGAATGTAACCAACTAATGAGCCAGGCAATTAATCAATTAGCAAATTCCACTAATTATTTAGCTCTGGACAACACTGTTGCATATTTTAAGTTGTATAATTTTACCTGCAAAATTAAAAGCAATTATATATATATACTTAAATCGAATTTGGTTCTTGGTAGCACAAAAAATCTTCCAATATAAACTTTGGAAGGCCTCAATTAAGTTCTTCGTACGATGATCAATCAGGTTCTTACTTTTAAAAAAGTAGAACTACTAAACTTGTGGCAAAAGTTAGATCTTAACAATTATAAAACCTCTCACAAAATCCATGGATTGAAAAAAAGGATGAAATATTCAGTTATACACATGCTACATACAACTAATAAATATGTCAGTTTAAAAACTACAGTAGAAACAACAAGTCTGATATGTGAGAAAAACTAATCTGAGTAATTCATTAGAAACACAAGTTAAGGAAATTCATGTAAATATATTATAAACTACTGAAACAAAAAACTACTAGCTACAAAAAAATACATTTTGATGTCTCAAATTTTTTCATAAAATTACAAACATGGATCAATAGATATCTATCATTAAAATTATTTAATAAACGTTATAGTGTAACATAAAGCAAAAATTACTTTTATTTTGTTACAGCTTTTACAGTAACAAAGATTTGTTTCATAAGAGGTATGCTAAAACTTTTGTACTTGAGAATGATCGCACTAGTGATCAAGACATTGTACCTGTTCTAAAAACAAATCTTACTTCTGTAAAAAAATTACTTATATTTAAAAGCTTTTCTCACTAAGCAAAATGAAAATATTTGGTCTCTAATAGAACTAGAACAAACATTGATGCAACCCTTTTAATTTGTTCTTAAATCATTTACATGTATATTCACCTACCCTGCCTTGTGCTTCTCCTTTAATATTAGCTTGTTTATCATAGATGTGACAACGAACATTTGTTGTTCCAACATCAACTGCAATAATATATTTCTGACCATTCAACAAATCACCACTCATTTTGCTACTTTTGTTTCTACAATTATCTTTAAAAACATGGCAGTTAGTGGACAGAAGCTCTGGATAACACCAAAAGATCTGCAAAACCAGAAAGCAAAATTATTCAAAACTACATTACTCAAAAAGTGTAAACAAGTAACAAACTATATATTTCTGTGTATGGGTTTATTAGCATTGTAAACTTTTACAATGTATAAAGAAAATTGTAAGAAATTCTCCATAACTATGACACTGAAATACTTATAAAACTCCCAAAACATTCTTCAAAAAAAGTCTGAAAATTCTGTAGTTTATAATTGGTATTTTCAATCTGAATGACACTTCAAGCAAAACATGTGATAAACAGCCAGATTTAAAACCCAAAAGATCAAGCATAGCTATCCTTAATTCAAATCTGCTGATCAGAGGGAAGGCAACAAGTCAGCAGTACACTGAGCATTTGCCACTTGTGTGACTGCTCATGTATGTAAATAGGATTAACTGTCATAATTATAATGCTCCACAGCTGAAAAAGTAAAGCATGTTAAGCACTTTGGCTCAAACCTTGGACATTCTGATCCATTCTTGTTTAAATACCAGTACTAATTAAACTTATTGATAGTAGAACTATAAACAATAGTTAAATAATTGTACACAATTTCATGAAAATACATATATTTTATAATGAAACACCAAAGTTTTTGTAAGTATTTTAACACTTACCACAATACATGCAATTAAACAACACAATTCAACACTCCTATTGCACAGCTTATGTTGATATCAACATAAACAAGCTCATATGGCACACAGTCTGTAAAGACTACTGTACAACCAATAGACTGATTCTGTATACCTTCAAAAAATCTTTATTTTCATTTGATTTTAAATAACTAATAATTTATGGCCTACAAATATATTTTGAAATAATTGTTAATTCAGGGTCTGTACAAACACAAATTGAAAACATTCCTGGAGTTGTCCAGGACTGAAATAATAAATTTCCAGGAACATCCAAGTGAATAATTATAAACAAAAAATGACTTTACTTGCAGAATCTATTAAGTGCATTAATTCTTACATAGTACAAGATGCAAACATGAGCATTATATCTAAATTAAATGGCATCAGATGATTTCCCAATCGCTTCTAGTCAATGCATTTTTTCTCATAAAGCTGTCAATTCCCATTGTTTGTTGGAGTTGTTTAAATAAAGCAATGTGCTTGGATCCTTTTATGTGGTTTTTAAATGCAGTTTTGCCCATGTTTGATATGTCGAATGTTTTCTTGCACACGTTGCAACCACCACTGTATTTGACTGTGCCATCACATACAAGCCAATTGCATATTCTGGTTTATCAAGTCATAAGGCATTAAATGTGCATTTCCTGCCAGACATAGCTTTAATTTGCTTTACATGTTTGATCAAGCATTAAACATGATAAATCAATGCTTTAAGTTTCAACAAGCCCACGAACTGCCATTTGTGAAATTGCATTGCAAACAAATTAATTATTAATGAGAATAACATAGACAGTGTTTGATTCAGTAACATTTCTCACAGCCTATGGATTATATGTAAGGGTCTAAGTTACAACAATTATAGTACACCCGTCTGTTAGCAACCATGTAAATGTTTTTTTAAATATCAATTCCTTCGATTTATATGAACACACCAAAAAAATGTTTTTTTAAATATTAAATTAATTCCAGGAGTTTTCAGCAGCCTTTGTATATTTCTAGCAATTCCAGGAGGTGTACAGATTTTTGAATATTCAATGATGTAACAATATCTTTCTCACTTACAATCCACTAAAAGAATATTAATGCATATAAAACACCACAATCATATGGATAACAGTAGACAACATAAAATTTATGTAAATTCATCCTTAATCATTTCACCACAAATTAGATATTCTCAAAGATACATTTCTATAATTGCAATTAAGTAAGTTATTAATGAAAAACAAAACATCTATAATTTTTCTTCATTGTTTTTATAGTTCTAATATAACCTTAATTACAAAAGCTACAATTCTTTCCTTCAGAACAGAACATACATTACTTAGAAAAATTTTTTTTAAAGAATTATTCAAATATCTCTAAATTAAGTTGTCACCTTAATAAAATAATTTTATCATCATAGAAAACATGTCAGCTTTTTTTATTTACTATTTGTTTTAATTGTGTATTAACAAATGAAATATCTTTGTACATTTGGACCATGAGTCTGGAAAAGGTACTATTTTCTCTTTACATTTACTAATCTTTCTAACCAAATGTTTTTTTGTTTTTTTTATCAAAAACATTATTTTTAGCAATTTCCAAACCTTGTAATATAACATTTTCCTGATAGTGACACTGAGCTAAAAACTGAATGTAATCAATTAATGAGGCTGTCAATTAATTGATTTGCTAATACAGTAATAGTAATAGCACTAATTGGTTAGCTCTAGTACCAAGAGTATGAACCTGCAATTCCTTTTTAAAACTCACCAGTCTCAAAATAGTCTAAAACTATCTCACATAAACACTATTGGAGCTGGTATTATTGCAGCCAAAAGCAGGAGAAAGTTCAGGTCGTTTCAGCCTCAAGACCTCTAATCATTTACTTTAGTTTAAAGTTCACTGGATAAGACTGATTACCCTCAAGAAGCAGCTACTGGAACCAGCTACTACTACCAGATGGTTTGAATGTTATCTCTCCCCCAAATCAAGATCTGACGAAAATTGTCATTTAAATTTTAAGCCTTTGGGCCTAGTCAAGACCAATGACTCGTATACTAAAACAAAGTCTAAACTGAGTACTACAGTAGAGTCTAACATTAATATTAACAGTAACATTGTAAGTTGTAACATTTAAAATTCACTAACGATGACATTAACATTGAAATGTGATTGACATAATATCCTAATCATCTTAATGATAATATTAATAACTTGTTCAGTAGTTATTATCTGATCACTTAAGTTTTAATTGTATTGTATTAAGCCATGTATCCACCTATAAATTTCAAATTACAAAGACTTAAAACTTGAAAATAAAACTGGAAGTGGAATGTCTCAGTTGTCTGGTCGTGCCATGGATGATATTAATAAAGACTGACACCGACGGAAATGTTACTGTTAATGAAAACTAGTACTTAAACACTTTAATATAAGAAAAATATATTGTACTTTTCTATAACTTAGTGCCTTGTATAAATAAGTTAAGAAGAATATACTAATTATTAAAGAATAAATCTCTACCTACTCTAAGTACTCATCACGAATAGCACCCCTCTACGAGTTCTTTCCTCGACTTTTGAAACGAACATCCACTTATTGACGTAAAATCATCGCCCTCTATCGTATAAATCAAGTTTTAATATACACAGCATGAAACGAACGTGTGTGGAAAATTAAAATTAAATAAAGTAATTTAAAAGCATTTGCAACATAGAAAAAACATTTGCTCGCAAAACATTACAAGTGATTATATTATTTATCATAATAAGGCCAAGGATAATAAAAAGGAAATTACTATTAACTAAAATTAGCGAATTTTTTTTTATATACGAATGAAATATCTTGTGAAATATTATTATAGTACTACATATTGACAAAATCTGTGGAAATCGGAGTGGAAGTTATTCGTTAACTTTGCTATGAGTAGTATAATATAGTCAGTTTCTCAGGAAATTTTCCACAAAAAAGCTGAAAAATTCACGTTCTCGGAGGTTAAGAAATGATTGTGCGGAGGTTCAATAATCAGTATTTAGAGGTTTTGCTGTTAAATCTTAGACAAGCAGACAGATTAATAAGTATTTATTTTTAGCATAATTAATCAATTTTTAGGTATGTCGTAGCTGAAAGAGCTACTAATTTCATCTTTCACAACTAGTTTAGAATCACACACGTAAGCAGGGGGGGGGGTTTGGCTGAATCCCCTATTTTTGTGATGTAACAAAAATATTCTTGTATAGTTACAGGGCAGCTGCTTATGGCAGTTGATGTTTTCTGCATAGTCTATATTCGTCTGATGAAACATTAAAAATTTTCGGCTTGAAATAGTCTCATGCCCCCAGGCCCCTGAAACATCAGCATGCTTTGCATGCTGATCGTGCCTCGCACAATATGAGTTGGCTTTTGATCTCAAAATTAGAACCTCCCATTCAAACATTCTGTGTATGGGCCTGAAAATATACCATTCTTCAAGTATATTTAAGTAATCCTTCAAATTTTCGTGCAGGTATTTTGCACGTATTTAAAACATTACTGTCAATCAGATGTACAAAGGTCGAAAACATGCACTAAACGTCTTGCTAAGATAAGGGTTACATATCACAAAAATTATTCTTAAATACACTGATATATGTACAAAAAAAAAGAGTATCATGTATCAGGAAGAAAGCATGTTACAAAAATGTTTAACAGAGAGTGAAACGCACACAGGTGGAAACAGAATATCAAGCAAACGATAAGTAACAACTGAACAGAATAGTTTACATGACACAATGTTTAGAGACAACAAGGGACCTATTGTTCCATCTATGCTGTCCCATTCTCTAAACTAAAGTAAAACTATTAAATAATAAAAGAAAACTCAAAATAAGCCCTTATAATTCATATAGTTATCAAGCTTTCTTTTAAACTCACTTAAATTTACTGCTTCCACAACATCCGATAGCAACCCGTCCCAAAGACCAACCATCCTGTTAGAAAAATAAAACTGTTTTAACTGAAGATGACTCCTACCCTGCCAAAATTTATATTTATGTCCCCTTGTCTTACCATTCTCACATTAAGTATGAAAAAAGATGATGCATTAACACTATCAATTCCTTTAACAATCTTAAACACCTCAATCGGATCCTCTCTAATTCTTCTTTTTTCAAGAGAAAACAATTTCAGAGATCTTAACCTCTCCTCGTACGACAACCCCTCCATCCCAAGTACTTTTCTAGTAGCCTTCCTCTGGACCCTTTCCAACAGTTCAATGTCCTTCCTAAGGTAAGAAGCCCAAGACTGAATACAATACTCCAAATGTGGTCTAATCAGTGACTTATACAATGAAATTATAACCTCTTTAAACTTGTATTTAATATTTCTGTAGATACAACCTAACATCTTATTCTGATAAGACTGCTCATTCAGTGACCTCCACTATTGCAACTACCACCACACCAGTAAAGACCACCCCCAAAATGTCAGCTGCCATTATGACTACATTGGCGATAGAAAAACAGCTGTTGTAGCAGTTTTTACAAAGATTCAGTATAAAGGCATCTGTCTCCACTACTTCATCCCCGGTAATCCCTACAGTGGTTAATGAGGAGACGTTGAAGAGGATAGCACGTCCTCAAAAGCCCCCAATTCACACTGCAGAATATAATGATTTTAAAGCACAACTGCCATTATGGGGAAGTCAGTTGTACAGAGGCCTGGGAATATTATAATGATGAAAAAGACCATCTGATAAAATGATAAATGCCACCAATCAAGGAAATTATCCTTCAGATCATCATGGTGCACTGGAAGTCCACAGCTGTATCGGAGAACTTGCTGTTGGGGTTACTTTAGGTGAGTTGTTATAATTTTACCAAATAAATTAGACATTTTGATTAATTACTGTACTCATTGTACAGTAATAGTAAAGTTTTCCAGTTTAATCTGTTTTAGAAAATGGTTAAGGTTTAGGTTTAAGGATGATTTATTCATTTGATGTATATATATATATGAATATAGGTGTTTAAATTGTTTTATTGTTTCAGATTAAGTTTGGGTGATATGTATATATGTAGTTATCATAAATGGCTATTTAATGTATTTTAAAACCTTTTCTCAGAAAAGGATATTGCTTATAATTTTCTTCGTTTAAAGCCCGTCAAAAATGACGGGGCAAGTAATACCACCCCACCCCATAATATATCCAAACTTCATATTTCATGGATAACTGAAAGAAATGTTAGTCTGTGTTCGTTTGTTAATTTTTCGTAGAAATTCTTTTCGAGAAACTTGCGATACAAGTCTTTTCTTAAATAAAACTAGTTTATTCTTTCTCAATACAACTTTGCAATACACTTAATTTCCACAGTCACATTAACTTCAACACACGCTATAATTCACAACGAACGATTCACGTACTTTACTTACTACCGCGCTTGACTCAATTGTCCGTCTCTATCTCTGCCTGTCTGCAATTATTCTTACCGTCACTTCTTGCCGGTCTTATATATAAAAAATAGAGGGTATCTGGCAAACATTCGAGCCTTCAGGAACGTTCGAGATATTCCTTACGTGTTACCAGCGTCACGTGACTTCCACTGTTGTAACACTGCCTCTTCCTTAATATTGTTCATCCCGAACAATAACCACTTACATTAAACCAATAGATAATTAACAATAACTTAATTAAATGTACATAATTTACAAACACAAAATTAAAATTCAACAAAGTCTCTTAATTTTATGGGACGTATCTTCTTCCGTACTGGTCTCCATCTCGTTGGCTTCTGCTTCACGTGAGGTTCATCTGCTCCAACGGAAATTGTCCTATTATCAGTTACAGTCACATGAGTGGTAGTAACTTCATTAAGGGCTTCACCGTTTCCCTTCTCAAAACCGGGTAGAGTTTCTTCTTCGACAGTGGCTTTTTCAGATGACACATCTTCAGCATCGTCTTTTGTTCCATTGTTCACTTCGTTCCAACTGAAATGTCCTGGACCTGATACGCCAAAG